AATATCAACTGTTTTAACCAATTAGCATGTAGGATGAGGTCACCCTCTTGAACCCTTAAGATTGAATTCTAGAAAGAAATTTATTCAGGGTGGTCTTTTATTTTACTTTGCTCCTTGTACAGGCGCAAAATAAAAAAGATATTACCCTGAATAACTTTTGTTCTAATGATCTGATTTTTACTTACTAAGTGTGAGTCTTAATTGTTCCTGATGGTGAATTCAAATATGCTTATTAATGACTGCAAACTATTAATCAAATTACAATATGAGATTCCAAAACTTTTCTGAATAGACGTATATATATATAATATATATACCTTANTATATATATATATAACACGATAAATAAATACAAAAAAGAAAAAAGAGAAAAACGAAGAAAATTGAGAAAAGCAATAAGTTTAAATTACTGCACGTAAGCTGCAAGTATGTTGAACTCATGAAATAAATTCAAAATGTGAACTCATAAAATAAGCTCAAAATGTAGAGAAAATATGGAAAAATTACAGAATAATGAAAAAAGAGAAGAATAAATTAAAATAAATAAGTAAAAATCTGAAAAAAAAAGATAAAATTTTTCATCAGCTCTCACGATTATCCGCAAAAAGGAGTGCTTTCTCTAACATTGTATCACTATAGCCAAAGCAAAATATATCAATACAGTAGTGTGAGGAACACCGAGAAGAAAAAATTTGGAACAAAATAGAATATCACACATTAAGTAATAAATATCACGTACGAAACAGAAAATAAAAATGTAACAGAACAAAACATAAAACGTAATCTATAAAGCGAGTAGCGAATTCAGATGAACTTACATGAACGGGTAATTTTTTAAGAATGATTTAAAATATTTTCGTAATAAGATTGCCTGAATACAAAATATGAAAACAGAAGAGTAAATTGAGATTAAAGCGCAAATAAAGGGATTTTGCTTAGTAGCGCGTTCTTACTGCAGTACTGAAATGCGTTTCATTTGATAGTTACCGAGGATGTGGCCCGAAAATGGATGTGCGAAAGGTTATAATATACTGGATAATTTAAAGAAGTTTATAATGATTAATGTTGATATTTAATTATATTCCAATGTTTCTAAAAGCATCTATTTAAATACCATTTTTCATTAAATTAATAGAATTAAAAGAATATGCAATGTTTATTTATCCAAAAAAAAAAAAAAAAAAANCCAAAAAAAAAAAAAATAGCCAAGGTCTTTATAATTTGATTAAAAAAATGGATACCCAACTAAAGAAATTGAATTTTATATAAAATCATTGAGTTACTTGTATGTTATTGTAAATAAATAAATAAATTTACAAAAAACTTTTTGTTAATGTATGTAATTTTTCCATGAGCAAATCCATTTTTGGCCAATTCCATGGCTAAACATTTGTGCGAAAGGCAAATCATGTTTTTCTCTCTCTCTCTCTCATTTTAAATATTTTAAATTGATTTAAATTAATTCTAAAATCATTTAAATTTTTTAATTAAAGGATCGGGGTAGCCTGTTTGGTAGGTCACTTTGTCCATGTCCAAGAGGTCGTGGGTTCGATACCCGCCTACCGAATACTCCCCCTGTAGTAAGTGGTGACTAATGCTCGTTGAATCTGTCGAGTCATAAAGCCCTCCATGTGCTGTAAATAGAACTTATTGTTTTTCCTAATTTTCTTCGTGTTTTTTTTCTTTTTGTCCTTTTTGTATCTGATTATGATTTCGTTCTTGTGTCTGATTCTCAATTCTTAACTTAATAATAATAATTATTATTAAGTTAAGAATATTAATTAATATTATTTCATTAAGTAGCACATTTGAAGTCACTCCCAGGAACCAATAAGATTGATACTTAGTACGATCATAAGATTTAAAGTTATTCAGGGTGCTATACTTTCCATTTTGCACACTTTGCATTTAACGAGTAAGTACTCTACAATTTTGCGTATCTGTAATACATTCGTTTGATTCCACTTTTCTATAAATTCTACTATACAGAGAGAAAAATAACTAATTTATCAAGAACCATTTAAAGAGTGATTATAAGAAACGACACTTACGGGAATTCATTCTTCTATTATGAGTTCGAAATTTTGATGGGTTGCATATCAAATATATAACAATAATCTAATAATAACACTACAATAATTGAAGAGACACATTCATTTTTTTTCCAGTTCTTTTTAAATTTCTCAAGAAATACTTAGTGGATTATTTTATAACTTTACAGGTGTTTAGGTTAAGCGATTTTTCACACTAATCAGTAAAGTTTAAAGCTTCTAGAGGTTTAATGGACCATCATTACATAACGAATGAAAAAAATATGTTTTCAAACAGTCTCTGTCGGAAAATATAACAATAAACTTGTTACATGTATCGATTACCTAAAGTTATTATCTAATATATATAATTCTCTTACGTGGCTCCCAAATTTTGGCTGTATTTCTTTTCCGCTGGTGGCAACAGTTTTCATTTTTAAAGAAGTACTTTGTACAACTAAATAAGATTCTTTTCACAACACTTAAATATTTACTTTATTTTCTTCATATATGCAGAGAACAGTCAGCAAAGAATTCTGTTAGGTAAAAAAACATTTCACTAAAAAAAGAACGAATTCTGAAATAAATAAAAATAAACAACTTAAAAAATAAAAATGCTATTGCCAGTCATAGAATTTTTTGAAAGATAACTTAGCAACATAAATCAAAATGACATAGAAGCGCAACTAGATCAAAATTATGATACCTGAGCGCTTGACGTAACAAATCCTTCAATTCTATAAGTGTTGTATCGCCAAATGCCCAGATTAACAATTGTGTTTTCAAAGAAATTCTATAAAAAGTTTTAAATAAAAAAAACTTCTATCCAGCTATTTCTACAACTTCTTCTTAAGGAACTTGGCTCATTGATTAAAAATATTGTTTTAATTTTACAGTACTAACTTTACTTCTACTTTCATTATTGCTATGACCCTCTTTCATTACATTTTACAACTTCATGCTAAATTTGAGGACTTTAAGCTGTTTTGTGGTTGAATACTGACATTTAGAAATGTGCACATGAAAAAAAATAATATTTAGAGGTTAAGAGTTGCCTCAGAAAAATTTGAGTTGTTGACACTGAATTTAATAATGGATACAATCGTTTTTGTGAAAAATTGAATTGTATTGCTGACATCAAAACTTAAAATATTGTGTTTCAACTTAACAATTCTACTTTAATTTTACTGACATTTTGAACAAAATTAAGGTTTAGAATTGCCTTGGGGATGGCGAGCGCCAGCGAGCAGGGGGCGAAGCCTCCTAGTATGACATAATTACATACAGACATTGGAGATATATGGTGACACGGACATTTTTTCATAAAAAGAACTATTTTGTCCTTTTATAGCAAGCACATGTTTATAGCAAATTTTAATTTATTACAATTATATAATCTTAAAATTTCAAGAAAAAAAAACTTGCTAAAAATTGCGCCTGATATACTTGCGCCAGCATTTAAAGCACTTTTTTTTACATTGCGCGGGAGTTGGCTAGTTAAAAACTTTTTTCATACTTTTGTTGTGATTACATTCGGTAACTACTGAGAGACGTTTAATTTGAATATTTTGAAAATCAAGAAAGATACAATTTTCTATTATACATTTTGAATGAAAGCTCTAAATAATAAGGTGTTTTCCACGAACGTTATTTTGTACTATTAAGCAAGATTTATCAAAATTGACACAGCATTATGGGGGGTCATACCCAAGGAAAATATATTTTCTTTCGCATATTTTCTTCCTTATACCCTCACAGTTTTTTCTACAGACGATTATTGTAAGGGACTATCATTTGCTATTAAATTTTATTTTATGATACAAAAGGATATTTTTTGAAAACCCCTTACCATTCAGAGCTGTTTTTCAAAATTCACAGAACCTACTTCAGGAATGGCTTGGAAATTATTTAAATTTTCAAAGTGTTTAAATCAGATTTTTTTTCATAAGTACCTTTTTAAGATAGCGATTATAATAGACATCGTGTAAAAAAGTTCTTTTCTATCCTTCAATGATTTCTCTCCCATCTTGAAATAATCTCAAAACTTGTTTGACTTCTCAAGGAATGAAACTTTAAGGGAAAAATCTTAGTATTTTTCATTACCAAGTTAATCTATTTAACGAATTGCACTTCTTTCGAAAAAATATAAGCATTTTTCATTACCAAGATAATCTATTTAACGAATTGTACTCCTTCCAAGAAAATCTAAGTATTTATCGTTACCAAGAAAACCCATTTAACGAACTGCACTCCTTCCAAGAAAATCTAAGTACTTTTCAAATATTGAATTTTTATTTTCGTAATTAGATAACCATCATGACAACTTCTTATATCGACTTGAAATTTTTGAATTTTGAAAAAAAGTTGTTCGGAGGACTAAATTTGAGTTGCTTTTTAAAAATGTTTAAGGAATATAATATTTGAAACAACTTTTTGTTGAAAAAACAAAATTCTACTTGTTCATTTTAATAAAGTTTCAAATAAATTCTAAAGATTCAGTTTTAAAATCGTTCTTAAAAAGAACCCTGCGCACAGTAATAGGTTAAATTTATAAAAAAAACAAAAATCGTTTGAAAATTGCCTTTACAGTTAACGATTCGTTTATGAATGCAGTAATTCATTCAATTCTTTGACAAATGTTAAAGATTAGAATATTTAAAACAACTTTTGTCAAAAAAAGAAATACATTCTAACGATTTAAGATACATTTTTACAATAGTTCCTAAGGGGGATTATTAAAAATAATGAAATTAATGAAAAAAAATATCGTTTGAAAGCTGCCTTCGCAGCAAAAGATTCGTATATGAATGGAATAGTTCATCCTCTTCCTCATCTGACAAAGCCGCGAACTCTTAATGCAAAGCTGCACAGTTCGGTTCTTTCATCTTTTCCACATCATTGGCGAAACTGAGCATTCGTCGCCAAACTCTTCGAAGGCAACCTCGCCCTCAGGCGAAAACTGAAGGGATACGATGTCAGGATGGGTCAGTGTGAGGAATGAAGGAGTGTGGAATAAGAAGCTCTCGGGCATCTTTCTCAGCATCTTCTTCGTTTACACGTGCTTTGGGTGAGCGAGGCAGTTCGCGTTGTTTTTGACAGACTTTATTCGTTGACAAAACTGAAATAATGATACTATTTTGATGGGGTATTATTTAAAAATATCTTTGTATTAACGGTGAACATTTGTTCTATTTACGAAAGTTATGTAACCACGAATTTTTACGGAAAAACATTAATTTGGAAGTTGTATTTGCAGTTCTGGATTCGGAAAATCGTTAAAATAGTTAATGAAATTGAGGCAGGTATACTTTGGACAACAAGTTTATCAACAAATTGTAAGTTGAATTACGTTATATGTATGTTTTTTATTAACATTTATTTCTAATCTAAGTGTCGCAGATTTAGGCTGATTAAAATAAAATTATGAATTTGTTTCCTGCTTTTAAATATTTTAGACAATTTAAAAATGCAATAGTGAAATGAATTAATGATTCTGATCATAATTATTTTTTTAAGAAACTTTGAATGTTATACGTTTACTTATAGTCAAAGAAAAAATGTTTAGAGATTAATAAAACTTTTTTTTTCTGTAAATTTATGAAAATAATATTACAAAAATTTATTGTGAATTCATGCTTGACAATTTTCCAATCATGAAGTCTTGTTTTTTCAACGTAATTATTTACTATATTTTTGGATTAATTTTATATTTTACCTCCGTTTTTTAATCAAAAATCTTACTTTAATCTTAATCTTGATAGCTCAGCTTTTTGAACGTTCTTGTTTGAAATTCACAAATTGGAAAATATTGAAATTTTGAATAAATTTCAATGTAGTTTTTTCTTTGAAATTATTTAAATAATTTTTTCATTAAAATAGTTTTTGTTTACTTTTTAAATGTATAATTGCATAAAAAACATTTCAATATAACTACCTTTAACGTAGGCTGTCGAAATAGTTCAATCTCTCTGTAAAAGTACTTTTAAACGAGAACAATCGATAGCATTAATCTTAATTTGGAACTTTCTAAAATATATATTCCAGTTTCAATTTATAGTTTTTTCATAAAATTGAATTCAATCGATTTAATTGAATTAATGTTTGCATGTAATAACCAAATTCAAAACAGATATTGAAACTAGAAATTCTTTCCGAGAAAATTTAATGTCTCATTTTTCACGAATTCCATAAAAATTTATAATATATTATGTTTGATTTTATGTTACGTATTTCTCTCAATTATTCAATGTCCCCGTACGTTATATTATAATCATTTCTACTCTTCCGTTTTTTTTTAAAAATAATATTTTAAATTAAAATGTATATCAAGCAGTTGTTTAGTGCTTGATTTACAGTAAAGTATAAAGATCTATTACATCAGCTTTTTCTTGAACAATCGATCTTAAATATTATTGAAAATCTAAGTGACTTTAAGTGGTGTCTCATTATTTAATTAGAAGAGGTACTATTTTATCGAAAGATTAAATTAATGAATTCATTTTTATTTTTTGAAGTTCTCAAGATTATGATAATTATTTTAGTTCAACTTTAAAAACTAAAAGTTTATAAAATTTTTGGAATTTGTGGTTAAATTTTAACTTTCAGACTAATGGATGAAAAAAATGAAATTTGAATTTTAAAATTATTATAGTATTTTGGTNTTTGAAGTTCTCAAGATTATGATAATTATTTTAGTTCAACTTTAAAAAATAAAATATTTTATAAAATTTTTGGAATTTGTGGTTAAATTTTAACTTTCAGACTAATGGATGAAGAAAATGAAATTTGAATTTTAAAATTATTGTAGTATTTTGGTTAACAGAATACTTATAGCAATAAAAAATTAATAAAAAGGGCAAAATCTATTTTAAAATAATTTTGTAAACATCAATATAAATTTATCGACACATGTTTACACTAAAACTCGTTTCATTGCTGTATGAACAATAAGAAAATTTATTATTTTTCTAATTTGAAAAATATACAGTTTAACATATCATATGGCAGCATGGCTGAAAAAAATATTTTCACAGCTTTTATACTTTGTATATGATATGCAATCTAAAATAAAACGATTGGTGTTAGAGTTGCAAAAAAGCAGGGCAATTTTTATTAAAATGAACTACCTTTATTTAAAAAAAAACACAGTCTTTATTGGCTTTTTTATATTTTATTATTCATTTATTACATACATATATTTTTATTTTCTTGATGACTATTTAATAAAAATAATATGAACAAAATATCTTATGATATTATGTCTAATATTGCAGCAAAATGGAATATTTTATTAGTTTTAACGCTAATGTGATGAAAAAAAAACCAATATAAGTTACATAATGTTAATATTAAAAGATATTTTCATTTCTTTAAGTTGCAGAAATTTGAATTTAATTTCTTAAAATTAAACTTGGTATACAGAAATGCTGTGAACAATTTAATTTTTAATTTACATACATCATGTATTATTACTGATACGGAAACTAATACTACCGAAAATGTATGTGTAGCAGTTTTGAGTTGTTGAACATGCAACTCCTTTTATAAAATGTAACAGAAACAGAAAAATATAAGCTGAAAATTTCAGTAGTATTTACATATGCAATGTAGCTTAAACATAAAAAATACCTTTTTATTAATAATTTAATAAAGCAATAGTATTTTCTATTATTAGTTTTACGAATCAAAGTATAAAAAAAACTTTTTTATGTGCATTGTATTATCTCAATTAGTTAATTATTAGTTCTTAGTTATTATATGTTTTCAGTTAATAAAATACTTAAAGAAGTAGAATTGTATTTAATTAAACTGAGGATTGTAGTTTGTAACATCAAAACTAAAATTATATTTGCTCCAATTTAATTATTTGCTGCACAAAGTAACTTTGCCTTTAAGGACAATTTTCTACTCAAATGTTCTTTCTTTTTGAATGTTTACGAAGCTAATATTTATTTGTTACTTTTTCTTAGAGGTATTTATTCCATAAATAGATAAAATATAGTATTAATTAGTAAAGAAATTGTTGCTTCATACTTGCTACAGATTCAATCAGTTTTCACCCAATTCGTTCCTAACTTATTTTAACCTTGTTCTAATTCATCCTAACTTAACAATAAAAATTTTTTTAAATAATTAGTTTTCAAAATTATTGCTACATTTTTTGCAAATTATGCATTTTCTGTAAAAGTGGGGATAATTTGTCCAAAATAATTCATACATTTAGTTTAAAATGCTGTAGCTCTATATTCTTCTAAACATATAATCATGCCACTGTAGCAATTAACAATTTTATACCCCTTTTATAAACTAGCATTTTTTTAAAAAATAAGTCATACATTTTGTTTAAAATGCTGTAGCTCTACATTCGTTTAAACATATAATCACGCCATTGTAGCAATTAACAATTTTATACCCCTTTTATAAACTAGCATTTTTTTTAAAAATAATTCATACATTTTGTTTAAAATGCTGTAGCTCTACATTCTTTTAAACATATAATCACGCCATTGTAGCAATTAACAATTTTATACCCCTTTTATAAACTAGCATTTTTTAAAAAAAATAATTCATACATTTTGTTTAAAATGCTTTAGCTCTACATTCTTTTAAACATATAATCACGCCATTGTAGCAATTAACAATTTTATACCCCTTTTATAAAATAGCATTTTTTTTAAAAATAATTCATACATTTTGTTTAAAATGCAGAAGCTCTACATTCTTCTAAACATGTAATCACGCCACTGTAACAATTAACAATTTTATACCCCTTTTATGAACTAACATTTTTTTTAAAAATAATTCATACATTTTGCTTAAAATGCTGTAGCTCTACATTCTTCTAAACATATAATCACGTCACTGTAGCAATTAATTATTTTATACCCTTTTTATGAACTAGCATTTTTTTTAAAAATAATTCATACATTTTGTTTAAAATGCTGTTGCTCTACATTCTTCCAAACATATAACCACGCCACTGTAGCAATTAGCAATTTTATACCCCTTTTTATAATCTAGCATTTTTTAAAACAATATTGGTTCTAATAAAAACGAACATTTCTTAACTTTAGCCGAGTTTTTTTTAAGTAGTTTAAACTAACATGAAAATGACTTGCTTTTTTGGCCTGGCTAAACTCTGACAGTCCTAAGTGCTGTTAGTCATTCCGGGGTCAAAAAACAAAAGTTTACATTTCCTAATAGTAGCTAGTACAACAAAGACAAACGGTAGGTACAGTGCGCTAAAAAAAAGAGAAACCTCCCTGAATAACTTTTGATCTAATGATAAGATTTTTACGTTCTAGGACTCAAGTGGGTGACATCAAATATGTTAATTAATTAGTGCAGACGATAGTTTAAGTTTCGAAATCCCACACAGAAACGCACTTTCTCCGAACTACCATACTTTTTTTCCATGGATTTGGATTTCTGACTCATAAAATATAGGGGGTAGCCGCAATCTGGAAAATATGGCTCGTATAGTTTGGTCAGGATCTAAGTTTGGACTCTTTAATGTTAGTTTTACGTTTTGCGTATTTTGCCATATGTCGAGAACTTTTTTAGCAAATCGAAAAATTCTTGCCCATCATTGTAAAATTCATTTGTCCAAAAATTACCTTTTAGTAAATTTTTATTATTTTTCATTATTTTATTAAATAATAGCCGAAAAATTTTGCATTCAAAGGAATACAAAACTGAGATGGGCACAGTAGGCCTTGGCCCTCTATGGGCTGTCGAGCCAATGAGTTTAGTTTAGGAATACAATTTAATGTACTTAACATCATATTTTACATCATTTTAATGTACGTAACTTCATATTTTACATCATTTTAATGTACGCAACATCATATTTTACATCATTTTAATGTACATGACAAAATAAAAAATTTGAGAAAAATTGGATGAATTATTCCTCACAAATCTAATTTCAAAAATGTCGTATTGTTAAAATTCAATTTCTCATTAACTATTTGACCGAGTTCTCTCAAATTTTGCATTTTGTCATATAAAATTACGTACTTCAAAATGATGCAAGAAATCTTGTACCTTACAATTCAAAATTGGCCGACCAGCCTGTGTAGGGGGCAGGAAACTGTCCTTGAAGAAAGGTTCTGGGTTCGAATCCCGGGCAAGGCATGTATGTTTCTTTCTCTCTATCTGTGTTCCATGTCCTTTCTCCTTTGTGTGTGAATGTGACCCGCCCTTTAAACGGGTTGTGGTAGTGTGACGTGGGCGACGCTGCTCCACCGTCGTGGCTTCGCCACAGGTGCCCACTGGGTAACGAAAAGAGAGTTAGCAGTTCTGGTACTTTCTGTGGCCAATGAACAATAGTTCC